TACTGGACGTTACTTAAATTGTCAGTAGTAAGTATGTTCTTAATATTAAAATAATTATATCATTTGTAAGAACTACTTGAGGGAGATCAATGAGATAATTTTTGAACATGAATCGACCTACATTAATCTTGAGATATGGTACTTAAAATCTTCATTTATCAAACATCAACAACAAAATCTTAAAGATTCTACACTATTGGACACAACAGTGAGATTTTACCCTCCTATAGCTTGCATAATAGTAAAAATTCACGGTCCGAATTCATTTAACATGTCAGTGCAAGGTTGGTAAGGGGTAAATATGTGCATCAAAACCCATAAATATAATAACTACTGAAGACTGCAACTTGAAATACCTTTTACTGGATTTTCACGCCGAATATGAACATTTTTTACCATTTCTCCATTATACCAATATGGTTGTGATACCGCTCTGATCAAGTTCTTTTAAATGTTTGCTCATTACTATAGACTCAATGATTACCTCACATAATTCAGATGCATACATTACAATCTCAGTAATGTAATCAAATACCTCCTAACCGTTAGAGTCTAATCACGGAGAACAATTTTTTTCCGATACATTTGGATTTGAGTGGTAATATTTAATCTTTTTTTATAGTGGTTGGTTGGGGATTTTGAGTCAGAAAGATTATGATCAAATGTTCGTTTTAAGTTAACAATTGGAGTTTGTTAAGTTAAATCTGGATATGAATGATAATTTGAATTAGTCGTTTGAAAGACCATTTTCTCCAAGTGGATGTTCAATTTTTTTAATATGTTCTATTCCGCCATGTCGAGGAATAATCTAAACGAATATATCAAAATGACTTTTTAGTAATAATATTTTCCCTACTTTTGTCAGTGAATGTCAACTTACATGATCTATGCCTTTTCGTTTCCACTGAGCGCTAATCCTCGGCTAAGCAGGCATTACTTATTTTATATGTTCATGTAAGATACGTTTTAGCCATGTTCCTTGTATTCTTGATGTTAGGATATAAACTATGAAATTAAAATTGCAGGATAAGATAAATAAGAACACTGATATTACCATCGATAATGCTTTCATGGAACTTAAGAAATACTTAATAAGAAACAATTATATTTTTATTATTCGCATATAACTGGTTCGCTAGGAATGGACTCGTGTACTTGGCTTCCAGCTATACTACAAGTGTGAAAGCTATTGAAACTACTTGTTTATCTAAACTGAAGTTGATGTAAAAAAGTCCGATCTGGTGCTTTGTGACCGAAAGTTGGATACCCTAACCGTTGAGCTACATATATGTCAATCATGTATTATTTACCGTTATTCTTTATCTCGTAGTTTTATATAACAATATTATTTATTTAGTTGATGAAACTTAATTGGTTGACATTAAGGCTGTTTGAACGGTACGGCCAATAATTTAAAACCATTTGATGGTTATAAACTAAATTAACTCAACCACATTGTTGCAACTACTTTATCGTAAACTATTGACTATATGAATGAAAACTGACTCTAATTGAGATTTTATCCAGATAGTCTTGTTGATAAAATTACCAATAACTAATAACTAACTGTAGCGAATTGTCTAGCACTTTATTGATTGACTAAAATAATTTTAACTGTATTTATTGAAAAGCGAAACAAGTCAAGTATTGGGATAATGTAGTGATGAAATAATAAACCAATCAAAATGATATTTTAGGGGGGGAAGGGATACAAAGGAAATCAATAAATATATTAGTGAAACCGAATAAGGAAATATGCATTCTATTCACATTATCTTAATCACCATGTTACAAAATCCGATAGATTTGTCCAGTTGTAAAAATTGGTCAATATAAACAATGTTCATGGTCACTGATCGAAAACATTTGTATTCTGTTCGTTCACCTTTTAAGCTAAAACTGTCAGTAAGGTTAATAACGTATCTGTTGAGATAAAAGAATACTTACAATATGTTTGTGTTCATATACAACCTAAATTTTGATATATAACCACAGGTAAAAATGAATTTGAATGTATGCGAATATGTTTATACATGTAATTGTGAAGGAATGCGTTTTAAACACATAACATTATTTTCAAGCGGCTTAGTCCATTGAACACATCTATGTAGAAAAAAGGTTGAATATGCATCATTCTGAATTTTGTTTTCAATTACTCTTGCGTAAATAGCAACTAGAGAATGACTAAATGACCCGCTGTCACAAATAATAAGCCCTTATAAGCAGAACATTAGTCTTCGTTAACTTAAATAATTTCCTTCTGAAGAAGCTTCAATTCATTAGTGTTGAATAGCAAGTGATGAGTGAGATGCCCAATTAGTTTCATGAATGTTATGACCTTGGTTTGTCTACCCACTTTTGGTGCCGAGGCTACATGTCTAATCTAGATTTAAACATTGATGCAATAGGCTGATCGGCTTAACCTTGAGACTAGTATGCGTGAGTTCGAGATGGGGTAGAGAGAAGAAAAACTATTCTGCCACCTGATTGGTGGGCAAGCACATGAATGAGAGAAGACAAGACAATTGGAACACTACTCGATCTATTCCTGACCTCAACAATTAGTGTAAACAGGTACATGAATAAATAGGTGAATAACCCGACCGCAACGTACAATAATTAGGAAAAATACAATTATGTCCAAAGCTGGGAATTAGAGTAGAAAATAGGGTGCCAAATAATATGTTTAAATTACAATAGCTTCGGAACAGAAAAAGGTATGGCAGTGAATGATACGTCGAACGAAAGCTTATGTTCTGTAGAATAGATTAGGGACAAAAATAATTGTCAGTGTTTTAAAAGCTTTGAATAAAATGAAATAACGTCCCGAGAAATAGCCTTCGTAGTTTGTCAGGGCTTCTTGTTTCCCGGTTCACATCAATGATAGTTGATAATCATTAGCAAATTATGCCTGCGATCTCGAAAGAACTAATACTCTTTATGAGATTTTCACCCAAGTCACACAGTGTTCCAATCAGAGACATAATCATTGTTCGATATCGAATCGTTCGAACTAGTGTTCACATTGGAACTTGGTCAGTAGATTTTGATCAGTATAAAAGACTAGACAAACATAATACTGATTAGTACTCACTGATCAGCTGATAGTTTATTAATTCAAGACTTTTCCATTTCGATATTTTTATCACCAAGGTCACTTGAGTAAAGTAATTTAATTCCTAGCATTAGAGTTTTATACGTTCCTTTTGCAACAAACTTGAGAATAATGTGACTGGAAATCTTTTGAAGCTGGATCAACATAGATGAAATTCTTTTCTATTGAATCGTGAATAATTTGTCTAACACAACAACAAAAGTTTACAAATAAATACTACTGACGAAATTAATTCTCTTAGCATTCATTCTGATTACTGAAAGTATTGATACTAGGAAACAATACAGATCTGTGAGTAAATTATTTACAAACTTTTATATGATCGTAAAATCTACAGATATATCTTGTAACAAGAAAGATACTTTGTTTTATACCATAATGATGTTTTCGATATTTAGTAAATTCAGGATGAATTATAATCAATACGAAATGAAATAGATGAATATGTATCATATCCACTTTAATTAATCGTCTAAAAATGAATTTGCTGTTTGACTTCGAAAATTTAATCGGTCTACAACGAATATTAGTAAGCAGACTAGAGTTTGTAATAACTGATAGAAGAGAACATCAACTGATACATCACGGAAGTAGTATATAACATACTTAGTGACAATCATTGTGATCAGAATATTTTCGGTAATTCAAATTAGTCTTAGTTTTTAGTAAGCTTACACGATCTTATCATTAGTCATTATTATCATTTTGTAATTTTAGACAGAATGTAAATATCTAAAATCATTATTTAAAATATCCACTCCTTAAAAAAATATACATCTACTACTAGTAATTAATCTGAGAGCGAATATTCACACTAAACAATGAAATTTTCTGGAACTGTAACTTCAGACTGACTGGAGTTGTATATAATCAAACAGTAATATTTTATTAATCACGATTCTTCCAATTTAGTGATTAAGAGTTCCTATCCTTCTAATTATTCGAAAATTAAAAAACAACAGTTTCAGTCTGACTTTTATCACTGGAACTGATAACACTGTAGCTATTCAATTAAGCAATAATTAGTTGTTAAACGAAACTAACATTTAATTATGATCGCTACAGAAGAATATGTTTATTTGGAAGTTTTCCCCATCCTACTGAATGATATGATCTAACTATTCCAATGAAATTTTAACAGTGGAAAACAAATAGACATGATGCATTGAATGATTTCATTCTGTTTTATTTAAAATACCCTAAACGAGTTTAGTTAAACAAATATACTTTGATTTGAACTAATATTTTTGATTACTCAAAGATTACTAGATACTTGATGGTAGAATCGTTTCAAATGATAAATTCAGCGAATACTCAAATTCTACGGGTATTTCAATTTTACATCTTTCTACAATAAGTTAAAGATAATATCATTCCCTGAAGAAAAATATATTCTGTAGAATAGTGAATTTATTTAAAATACTAATTTCAAATGTATTGCATAAAAAATAATGCCAACAATTCATAGAATTGAACTAATTATTATTTTACACAAATTATAAATAAAGATATAAATAAGTAAACAAGGCACAATTTTTGTAAAGTAAAAAAAGCATGCATATATATATATATATATATATATATATATATACTTTGCAGAAAAGAACACATAATCATTGCAGCTTGAATAAATAATGTCTACTATCTTTACTATCCCAAAAAGGCAATAAAATTCCTTGATATTGGAAATAAGTGGGAATAAATAAATACCAAGACGTTAAAGCATACTAAGCAGCAAAGAATTAGGATTTAAAAAGACAAAAAGTTTCTTTACTAATGACTATAAACATCATTTTAACTGTTTTAATGCTGTTAGTAGACTTTCTGGTTTAGGTGATGATGCGACCGCCGAAACATTCAAACCTAATTCTTTTAATCGTGTTGCTGTTGCGCGTCCCATAGCAACCAACTGATTGGCAGAGAAAGTCGAGGTAAAATAAGTAATTATTAATAAGACTGTATGAAATTTAAAACTTTCACATAAAATCATACAATTCAATGGAGGTCATATACAATTTCTAGGACAACTTAAATCAGTATGTACTAATATCAGATAATAACCAAGTACTAACTGACGTAATTTTGTATAATAATGTTACAGTAAACTCTTTTAGTGTGACGTTTAATAGGACTACTTGACCGTTTAAGTCTAAGCAAGCACAGGAAAGTTTATGGACGACGCCTATGGAACGTAGCTTAGTGCTATAATTACGATACTTTTAACGATCGTCACATATTTGATTCTTTCACAACTACGTTTTTTTATCAGCTGGACATTAAGCCTGAGCTGTATATATCAAGCGTGGTTCGGTTGACCACATATACCTATATCTTTTGATAAGTTATGTTTACTTAAAACCATTTATAGTATTAGTCACATACCTAAGTTAATGAACCAGAGCTGAAATGATAGTAAAGGCCAAAAGAACCTGGACTGCGATCGCGTTCTTATCATTATTATGATATAAAACCGGAGAGTAAAAGGCGATCACATTTCCTGGCTTGCTTAGTAATCTTGAGATCACTAATTCGAACAAGATTTCCACCAACTTATGTGATCGTATCTTCATAATAGCTCAAATTGATGACATTTTAGATCATTTGAATACCGAGCAGATAGTTATGAGGATAATTTTAGAAACTACATCTAACGACAAAATGAAACACTGGGAAATTTTCTAATTTGCGTGTTTTCTGACAGTTCATCACCGTATTATTTTCATGAGCTCGACAAATATTCTTCCTTATACAACAGCACTGAACATTCGCGCAACAGCCAATTAACAATCATCTATCGCGAAATATGGAAGTTCCATAAAACAGTTGTACATTTCTTAATAATTTGATTGATTCATCATTTAAACTGTTACGAATTTTGAATACTTTCCTTAAGTCCTCAGGATTCACAGCTATCAGAATAGATTTCTATGAGAACAAAAATACTTTTGTTTGCTCTAGCTGATCTTTTTTCGTAGCTAGCCACTTTAACCTCTATATACACTGCACAAATTTTCAAGATGTTGTGTTACAGGCTAACTAATCTTCAGATGTTTTGTTGAATGTAATATGAAAGAAAACCTGAAACCTTATCGGTAACCCTACTTTAACTCACTTTCCATGATAAATAAAATAAAACAGAAATATGATATATTAGTACTAAGTAAACAAAAAACCAACTGGTTATGTATCTCATAAGATGAGAGAATAGATTTATGAATCACGATGTAGTAATGAACATCTTAGCAAATGATGACGCTAAACACAAACTAAATATGTATAAAGACTCGATAAGATAAACTTCAAGTTCTGATTTAGTATAACAAGAAAACCTGATAGTATGCCTCCATAAAGTTGGTGTGTTATGGTGTTTGGTATTTGATGTCAGTTTACAATGAAAACTAGCTTCCATATACTATTTGTTCACCATGATGTAGTTATTTCCAATAATCCTCATGGATAAACCAGGGCTAAAATTTAACTGGTTAGATGAAAACGCAAGTTCAAAAACTTTGGATAGAAACAGTACGGGCACCTTTTTAAGTGAAATAAATTTTGGATATATAAAAAACATACACTTACTTTAATATTTGGTCGATGTGGTTTAATTTCGGTTAATAATATATTTTCAGTCAATGAAACGCCAGAGGGACTGAAAAATACTAAACAATCAGGAATAGGATTTCCTTCCTATAAAAAGGACACGAACAATAACAAATTATTTTTATAATTATAGATTTGAATATCATACAAAAGGACAATCAATTACAAACAATTAGAACCAAATATATGCAAATTCATCTGTATACCTTACCTTAATGTTTAAAAATACTTTCCAATTTAAACACACAGCTTAAACATTCTTTTTTCTGAAGGATACCTGAGCTAACATTCTGCAAGTAAATTCCTATTCTCATTTCAAGCCATGAACATTCTGAAACTTAGTTCTTCTGTTACCTTATCCATTGTCAAGCTTTATATACATCTATGGTACGATTTTCAATGACAAACGTTGCCGAAAAAACCTCTTGGTCAACAGGTAGTTAGTACTTACCAGTAGGATTCAGTCCTAAAGTCAATGACTTCACTGACTGATTCCAGCCAGTCTATTTTCGCTTATAATTTGCTGAGAAGAGCCTGTAACTAAACTCAGCTGTTGTATAAACTACTACTACTACTACTACACAAGACGCATTTGCAGTGAACAGAACGTTGCTTTGTTTGCACTTTCTGAAAGGAATTATTTAGTTAGCTGTAAAATGAACAATGTGAATAATCCAAAGACTCTATACTGTGAAGCAAGCAAAAATACATATAATTAAATTCAGAAAATGCTGCTAAACCTAGCCAGAAAAGCAGATATTTTGAGGAGAATAAATTCTTTAAAAAAGTTAATGTTGAAGTGCCTGAAAACAAAGAACTTACACATAAATTCAATCGCAGTTTTTCATGAAGTTCAGTGTTTTCTACAGACGAATAAGCCACAACGGTATTTACTTTTTTTCCTGTATTTCAAAAATATTAAGTAATTATACAGAAACCTTCATTTTCCAAAACTTTCGGTAGTGTGTCTCGGTGTACTTGCCCAGATGGAAAAAATATAGGTTTATCCAATTCTGTAAAATGATGATTTGTGTGTAATGGGTGAAAGAAACTAGGTTATCTACAGATTACTTGAGGCAAAGTGCTTCAAAATAAAACTTGCGAGCTTTTCCGCATCACCAGAATCAGCTCCTTTAGGCGAAAATCCAGCTTTTTTAGCTATAAAACGATTTTATAAATATATATACATATAACTATGGGATCCATTACCTTGTAACTCAGTGCTAGGACCAACAACGAAACAAAGGTCATTTTCATTGCCTATCATTTACCAGTAGGTGTCATAACAAAAGTACACTGACCTGTTAGCCCAGCTTTAACACAAGAGATTACGGAACGTGGGCTACTAAAAATAATGCAACTGTGATTGCTCCTCCAATTTTTGTATTCCGCAAGATTTGATATGTTATACTCGAAATCAAGAGTTTCCAGTAAGTCTACGCTGAAACCTGAGTTTTTTAATATCTAATTTTTCAAAGTGGTGAAGAAAGTAATCATAAAATTACCCACCTGTACATAAGGGTCATCACTGATGCTAGTAGCATTATCACCAGCCGATTTAAGGAGAACTACGTACATTGACAGATCGAATACAGATTTTCTAGTAAGACAGAACAGAGGACAAAAATCAGGCTAAGGTACTGAGTAGCTATTTAGACACTCTGAGAGATTAATAGAAACGGTCACACAGACCTTCCTTTCACCATTAAACAGAAAAGTGAATTTTCTCACCAGATTTTTAACACATGATCAACAAGGGAAATTAATGTTTAGTAAACATGCCTTCGGAACAATGAGTAATGCTTCTGAAACACAACAAAGGCTGTAAAATCGGACAAAGTTATGTTACTCGATTATTGAAATTATCCTTATGTTCTATTTCCAGAAGGATTACTACTTTTTTATGATAAATATTTGACCCGAAGAATGCTTGCATTAGTTGTACAACAATAAATAGGTTTCTTTCTGTGGTTTACCTCTAAGTTAGTGAAAATCCCGAAATAACAATCACAGGCAACTAGTAGCTATGGATTATCTCCCGAGTTAATAAGCACTTCACCAGGAATGAGGATTTAGGATAATTCATTTAATTACGCATTACTACACCACACAAGCAACACGTCAATGAATAACAAACCACAAGCGTCAACTTGCACTGAGCTGAGTCCAGGTTTTTTGACGCATCGATCGTTTTTCAGTATAGGACTACTTTCTACACATAGTTTAGAGCGAAACAAAAAACTAAAAAGTACTATATATATTACTCTTTACTTTTGTCTAGAAACAAAAACACACTCCATAACTTTCCGAACCTTATTTGTCGACTTAATTAAGCTATTCAACACATTCTAACCTCCCTGATTACAGGAAATACGGGATTTTTGTGCCTAAAATATAGACATTGAGATAAGCAGCTTGAAGTTGAGTTTCCATGTTAGCATCCTCCGATAACTATCAAGACACTAAAATAAGATAAGTATGTTTCTGGTAATCAGCAACAAGAAATCTACATAGCACTTATGTAAGAACTAGCAATCTAAACTACGGAAACCTACAAACAGCTGAAAACAATAAAATAGCCGGCACTCCAGACCTATGAAGGAAATATTAGCAACTGATATACTAAAACAAATGCAAAATAATCTGACGTATTATTTAATAGTTTTACATTTATCAGTTGCTCTACTGAACGTTCGTCGGTTTCTACTAACAGTTTTACTCTATATTTATTACAGTATTGAAAATAAGTAGCTTCCCAAACAGTTTCGTTTTGTCAAGACAATGGGTTTGTTGGCTCGTGTAAGTCCTCTGAAGTTGATCAGTCAGTTAATTTACCTCTTTCCTGAACGGGCCATTAGATGGATCTCTAACTATGTGTTGCGACGATGAGTTACATTCGTTGATGTTTCGATGGGACTAAAGATGATACAGTTATTCGGAGTTTGACAACGCTTTAACCAGTAACACCTAATATGAATCGTACCCACCAAGTGAAATCAAAAACAGAAGCGAGGAGGTTCGAAGATATATTTGATAGACCATCAATATATCGCGAATCGACTGATCTAATCTGGCTAGCGATTGCAGTAGATGTTGAGCAAGGCGTTCCCACAAGTGATCTGGTGCGGATGCATGACCAAGCGCCTTCAGCTAAGTGAGTCCATTAAAACTAATGTAGTGAGCATCCAATATCGAATACTTACAGAGCTATCTATTTCGAGGATTTGTTTACCGCTACAGGACAGGCATTTATCTGCCGGCAAATAAATTTCCAGGTTTCTAAAATTCTTGAGTGTTCTCGCAAACTCACTACCCTGGAAAACAAGAAAAATAATATGTGCAAATTTATTATTAAGATATTCGATATATATGCTTTTTAGATTTAACGGTCACTTCTAGCCAATGTAAAAGACTTATCATCTAAATATTTTAATTCAAAATCATATATTTTCATTATAGTTTGGGTTCACATGTATTCTTGCTTAAAATTTTCACTTAAGGTATCTAGAAGCCGTTAACATGTGATTTTTTTACATCTTCAGAACTTTTTTAAAAGGCTGAAAAAAAATTTATTATTCTACTTTCGTGCTATCCGCGAATAGTCGACTACTTGTCGTACAGCACAGTGCGGTATGGTACATTCGACAGATAAATATGAACCTTAATGAAGAGACAAAACCGAATGATCTAACTACCGAATATTTCGGCTGAGGTCAAAATATATGCTCATTATTACAAAATCCGCAGATAATGTGCCCTCTGAAGGTGACAATTACTGTTAGGTACAGAGAATATATTATCATCAGAAAATTTTTAAAAACTATCAAATAATCTGAACCTGTGCTAGAAACCGACCCTGTTGTCGCTTATCATCTGAAAAACCCTGTGTAGAAATACGAAGAAATAATGCCACAAAGGCGGAGAAAATTTTGATTTTCAAGGTCTATATGGTCGAGTTTCAACACTGTTGTCTGTCCTGTTAATTATACCTGTTTCCGTTATCTTACCGTTAAATACGGTGTGATCCAATACCTTTATTAATATGTCATAATATATCTTATCTTTTCCGTCCGTCTAAATCGATAGACCTCTTATCCTTATTACTGAAGACTGAGGGTCATTTGTATGTTTATATTTTGCAGCCAGAATCTTTATCTAACACTTTTGTGAAGTGAATGACAATATTTCATAGGGTGCTAAACGACATTAACATCAGTGCACATAATTTAGTGAACATAAAATCTTATCCATCAACTTGATGTCAATGCTATCAAAAAAATTTGTCTGGGATCGGTGACACGTGAGTAAACAGGCGCATCTATAGATCACCTTATCTTAATAGAACTGGTTGATTATGCCTGAATGGCGATCTATTTTACCGTGGGCTCAGTTCACCATTTATAACTGCTGTGCTACACCTGCTCATGTGAGGCCAGTATATAAATTGTTTGATTCATACTTTATCCAGAAGAATTCAAGAACATTACGCGGCGTGGCTGAAAAGATGCGAAAATGGATCAGTAATAAGCTCAATAATCGAACACCTCGTGAACACAGGTCATTCAACCAAAGCGAACTCTTCATCCAAATACATCTACAAAGTAGAAGACTGATAAAACCAGTTATATTGCATCTTAATAACATTGCCGAAACAATGACTATATATCTGGGAAAACTATACTTGTGTGTCGTAAAGAAATTTGTATAACCACGTCTTCTACCATGGTCTTAATGTCTTATAAAACACTTTCTTTCTCTTTCTTCATATGTTTATTCTTTAAGAACATCTGCTTCCCATTCTATATAGACCTTCTGATTCCTACTGGTTTATTTCTATTACTGTGATCTTCTCGATTACATTGAGTCTCTATTTTAACATTTTATTTCATCTTACTGAGCCATTGGTAACTGTTTGTTACCGTTTGTTTGTTAGCGTTTCTTCATTGAAGTAGAAATGTATCTACTCCCACCTCTAGTTTAATAAATGTTGAAGCAGACATGGAAACAAAGACAGTTTTCAATGTCCTAAAAATGTTTTGTGCCTGACCAAGGCTCCCTCGGAGCAGCAAACAGATGTCTGCACCCTGTGTCACTTAACCAGGTAGTGACTGTTTCGTGCATGTAGGTAACCCTCGTGCTATTGATAGAAGAAACTGCGTTCGCGGCAAAACGAAGGCCATTAACTGTCACTAACAATATGGGAACCTCTTCTCGACTAAACACCTCTTTTAATGCTTGGGTCGTGAAGTCAGAACTTAGTGACGTTGTGAAAAAACTTCAGACCACCTCGAAAAATTATCAATGACTACAGGTGCATAGTATTTGCCAAGAAATGGACTACAGTAGTATATAGAATTATTGTGTACTTCGTTATTAGTACTGCTCTAGTTATGGGCCTTATATTAAAATTGTAGACTGATCATGATGTGACTTCCTCATCTGTAAGATCCTACGTGGGAGTCACAACATTGTCTATACTGACTCGTCATATCGTGATCATCACCAATATATGATGAAGAACAGATCAAGACTGGAGATAGAGCAATATATTTTTTATGAACAAAAAAGATAAGTTACACAAGAATTACCACGCCTGCAACGCCAAGACAAGCTGTCCAACGAGTTGAATCCAACCCTTCCTGCCTTCTCCATTGTTAAGATTTCCCCGCGTTAAATGTTGAGTATCTATTTTCCCAGTTGTCTCGTTTTCAGCTTTGAGGATTGTGTGGTTAGTGCAAAATGCCACTACACTACTCACACCAGAATCAGCGTGACGTTGGTTCGACACCATACTGAGTAGGACTGTTGCACTCAGGGAATTACCAAGAAAAAAATAACACTCCGGGTATTGATAGGCTGATAGATAAATCCAAAAGAAAGCGGCAGCAAGTGATTGAGAAATACATGTAATAACTCCAATATGTATGCTTTTGTTCTTAACATACGAAAAATGGAGATCTATGTGAAAATAGGTGGTACAAGTATTTTGTGCTTAGAACTATAAAAACAATCGCTATTGTAGAAATTTCGATAGTGGCATCATCTTTGGTTCGAATTATAAATTCAGTTAATGTTTTTGCCCGTAAGCTGTCCATATGAGTTGATTTTTAATAGTATCTGCTTTAGTAAGCTAACTAAAAGAGCAAAAGTATAAATTTGGAGAAAAAGAATTTTAACTAGTGTTCCAGTTAGTCTGTTAAGTTTGATACGGTTTATTTAGTCTTGACCTCATTATTACTTAACCGTGATATAACCTAGTAATACTACTAACACAAATGAATCGTTATCAAAAACCATTTTGCGTGAAAATGGTGATAATTGTGTGCATTATGGAGAGATAGCTAAGAGCAATTCGTTAAACATTAGTGTATTCGTGAGAGAGATGCTTTAGACTCAGTGTTGTTTATATTCACACCTACAAGTTAGTTGCAAATATTGAGCTTCTCATAAGTTGAAAAACGATAAACAGTGAGTGATACTCATGTGATTACCAAGGAAAACATAAGTTGTAACCAAGGTGAGTAAACTTCCAACTCATATCAATGACAATGGCTTAGACGTTAGTCAGTCTTGTGGTAAGTTCGACAGTTTTTTTTCAGTTTGCAGGAGATTTGGTCGACTGTTTATACTGATGATTTAGACTGACAAGGTTTTAGGATATTTCCCGAATGAGCAACTGATAGAAAAACACACTGAAAGATGAAGATAACGAGAAAACAACACTACTTGATGATAATTACAAGTATGCATGAATTCTCTGCCAGGCCTCAGATGATACTGGCCATGGGGTTCACTTCGAAAGTTGATTTCTTAACTCATGACATTTTCCAAAATTATTTGTTGTATGACATAATTCTGCATTTATCTCTGTCCACCAACATGTGAGCCTTGCCAGGGGCTTATTTTTCTAAAAACTAAATGTCCACATTGAAGATCTTGAAGGACAGATTTACGCGATGAAGGAGAAATAACAACACGGTCATTTAAACACAAAATACCATCAGGAGTAGTAGATAACTCATCCCGCTTTGAAAAGTAGACAGGAAATCTACGTTTCAGATTGGCATTTCAACCATTCTGTATAGCATTGAGTATGCGTCCAAAGTATCCACGAGTGTCTCTTATGAGATCTGGACGTCTCACTGGTAAAGGTTGCACTAACAAACAGTCTGAATTATTGTCAGGTCTATCTTTTAATGATTGACGAAAAATGTAGTCAACATGCTGAATTTGTTTGGCATTCTTGTGCTGAACCGTATAGTCATAGGCACTCAAAGCAATACCTCATCGTTGAACCATAGCAGTTAAGGAACTTGATAAGGACTCTTTAGGATGATAAATAAACTTTCAAGCTTCATAATCAGCAACAACAGTGAGTCTCCTTTGAAATTATTATTTATGGATTCAACGTAATATTCTTCTCAATTAAATGATGCAATAAGTCGCTCGTCAATAACTACGTTGTCAGATCCATGAACAACGAGATCATTTTGAAAAACACCATCTACTTAAAGATCACTGACTACCTTTTCATAACTCTCTGAAATATGGCTGGAGAACGACTTAGACCAAATGTAAGGAAGTTACGTTTGAACAGACAAAAAGGAGTGTTAACTGCCATCAAAATAGATAAAGGTTGATCCAAAGGGATTTGCAGATTAGCACCATTGAGGTCAACACTCGAGAGCACTCTAGAACCATGAATTCGATTTAGAATATCTTCAGCCTCTACCGTCGTGTACGTTTGCTTCAACAAACGGGAGTTCAGTGTTAGTCTATAGTCACCACATATTCTAGGGGTTTTGTCATCCAACTTCAATGAAGTAAAAATAGGAGTGCCCCATTTTGAAGACTTAATCGGCTCAATTATACCTTTCGCACACAAATTGTTCAATGTTTTATGTACTACATCTCAAAGGCTGTAAAGAATTATTCATCTTTTAAGAAAGACTGCATTTCCCTGTATTTGAAATTTTATAACCTGAATTTTCATACATCCACTGCACTTAGCACACACAGCTACTAAATCTTCAAGTAAAGCATCAGAATTTTCTTTAGAACTAGTAAAGGCAACTCCACTTTAAGACTATTTAAATTTTTTAAACTTAGTATTGACAGTTCTGTTTCGTTAACAGATTTTTTTCTGAATCACCTTTCATATTTTCACGAGAATAGGAATCACTAATAAACTACTGCTTCGTAGATAACATAGGCAGTTCAAGCATCTTGAAAAGAATATTTTGGCATTCTTAGCAATTCTCTTTCCAAACCTGGTATGTTAATTCCTGGAATTAATCGATCCGTCGGTGGCCCATGAAGTTGATCACCGAAATTGCATTCGGCAGCTTGCTTTTAGAATTCAAGCATGAATACCCTAAACTTCTGGTTATTCTGACGAATCATCTTAGGGAATTGTGCATTCTCACGACATTCGAAACTGGTGCATTTTACCTGATTTAATAATAGTTCCTAAGAGTTGCATAAGGAAGTGAGATAGGCTTTTCTGGATATGTCAAATTTTTTAATAAACCGTAGGCTTCTTTCCAGATGAATGTAAGGAAATGTGCCACAATTTTATCACCCTTCACATTTTTCTTGGTCATGCTCCAGATGTCAAACCTCTCCAAATAATCTCCAAGAGTTGAATGAATGTCCAACTGTTCCATCACATGCTCCATTGCGACGCCAATGTGATAATTCAGAGTATTTGAATTATAATGCAACTAGGAACCCCAGAAATAATGCAATTTAACTAAGAACTATATAAACATGGACGAACGTATTTGGAATTCTAAATCAAGCAAGCATTAAGTACAAAGGAATCATTAGTTCATACAAACACCACATTTTACCTCACTGTTACCACGTTTAACAAATACCTATTATTGCAATTATCATCCTGAAAAATGAGTATATATATCTGCAAGTGTGCACCTGTAAAAATTAATTTGCCGAAAAGGGAACTCTCCGCTCAACTAATATTTATCCCGTGTCTCGATGGACAGATTCCGTTTACTTTATTTTTTCCATCTATTCCACTTTTGTTTCACACCTCTGCGCGTGGTTATTGTGTAGACCTTTTTCAGTCTACTTTTAAGTCACCTGAACTGCTCATGCTGTTTTAAGCCTGATAAGATCAGTCTAAGAGCATCTGTCAGTTCAGTAGATGCTAAAGAAATCAACTGACGCTTCCTAGCCTTTTGGTTTAAGTTACCAACAGCTATCACGACTGTTTTGGATGTTATACAAAACAACTTTGGAGTTAATAATACTCTCATAATTGACCAAGCGCTTCTCTAGTTGTTTCTGAAATGGTATCCCGAATTTTTCATCACCTGGCTAAAATTTAAAGGGTCGTCCTAATGTTGCACTTTTTCTGATGCAAAAAAACATGTACTGGCACCAGAGTATGATTGTTGTCTAAGCACATTCTCCGAAAATGGGTGAGTCTTGTGTTAAGTTTCTTTGATCGCAACGAAATAGAAAACTTTCGGCATTAGGCTGGAGATTATTGATTCCACGATGCACACAACAACACCGTCCACACGCGCCAAAATGACAGAAATCACTTTACATGGTGCCTTCCCAAAGATGATTGATAGCAGTGTAGTCTCTTGAATCTTTTGATGGACCGATCGTGACAGTCAACACGTCTTCCTTACAGTTGACACTCACTAGAAATAAACGTTAATTTCAGAACAATTGAAGTCTTTATAAACTGTCCCTCGAGACCCTAAACTGAAAGTCTCAACCAATTTTCTTTCACCATGGTTTGGACTTGTAATGGCACTGCACCCTAGCCACATGGCATTTGAAGCCGAGGATATAATTACTGAAGACATATTCAACAACTGACACGAAGAAAAGGTCAATTATGTAATGAGGGAGCATTAATTCAGTCGATCGGATGGCATGGCTCAGCGTTGCAGTCGTGGTCATTCCAGTGTAACTTATTTCTTTTATTCATAGCAAACTCGGATAGATAAATATGGTAGAGCATGGTGACGAAGTAAGGTGAGAATGGCTAATCGTGGGAACAGAAGTAATATTACGAAGGATTCGATCTTAAACAAGATGACCTTGGGTGGCTCTATAGGTATGATAGTGATTGAGAATCCACATCTGACCCCATTAGTGAAGAGTATATCTTCTTGGCGGACCTGAAGAAACTATATTACATGCTGGCATCAATACCTGGTAGCGTGATCGCAAATCCCAGAAGGCAAAAGCCTGAGATGTACGATCTATTTGTGGGACGTCATCACGAGCGGCAGTAACAGTCCGGAAAAATAACAAAATGTCAGTTCCTTGAGGTCTGCATATCGGTCGCATTGTGACGTATTTCCTCAGAATCTAAAAGATGAAACCACTGGTTAGTAGTGGAAGGAGTGATGGCTAAAGTATTGTACTTCAGAACCAAAGGGAATGATTGATTTCACTTGAAAATTCAGAAGAGAGTGAATATATGTGTACGAATACTATGAGTGTGATTATTATAATATAATACAAATGAATGAAGATCGTCTAGAAAATAAAAAAAACCCCTTCTTATCCCACACTAGTCTTCTCATAAAAAATAATTGGCGTATGGAAATAAACAAATTTATTTTGGTAAAAATAATAAACCAAAGGTAAAACAATATTTATAAACTATGTGCTATAAATAGTGAAAGCATTTTGGAAGAACAAACAAGTTGCTGACAAATCAACTTACACAAAACAGAGAGCAGAAAGTGACTAATAAAGAAATAATGATGATAATAACACAAAGAAACCTATAATATTTTATCTATACAGCATAGTAAATTTATGTAGAAACTAACGTTTAATAAGTTGAATATTCTTACGAGATGCGTTAATTCGACCAAATGGTCCAGGTTCATGATGATATAAATGTACTTGTTGATTTAAACAATCACTTATTGCTTTTCTACAATGCGATTTTTAAATGAAAAAAAATACATTGTTAAATACATAGTTGTGAACAGAACACTGAGTAACTTTTGTGATAGAAAAACTAACTATCCCAAAACGAAATACGTACGAAAAACTTTAAACCTGAAGGTCAGCAAATAAAAATCAAACGTATAACTTCCTAGTCACAACTATGATGAATGGAACAAGAGTAGATTGATGGGTTGAATGAATTTATATCCAATGTAATGTAACATAAAGAATTTAAAGTGGTTTATGAATGAAACTAAAGGACAAAATCACAGTTGTATTGAAATTTTAAAGTAATATAACTGGCCAGAATACAGTGATACAGAGAAACAAGGAATTTTCTCGAAAGATATCTATACAAAATTGCGTTGGAACTAAATTCACAGAAATTTTTGTGTGAATTTCAACAATATAATTAATCTAATTTCTTCTCCTTTAATTCAAAATTCCCTCTTTCTCTCTATTAGTTTGAATATGTCACTAATGATCTTTTTTATTTAGACAGCAATTTCGAATCTGTCATTTTTCAACTGAACTGCTCTAAAACCATTGTTGATTTTATCACTGTGAATGTGAGTTTAACTAAAGCTAAACACTATTTAAGGTTGAGCCATTTGTCATTCATAATATTTTTAACATACAAATATATTCGAAAGGCCAAAACAGCCTGTTGACTTTAACCGATGTTGAGTTCGTTATCCTGGTGAATTTAACATGTATTATACTTTTTGATGATAATTCCCGTCTTGTATGGTAAAATTAACTACTTTAACATATTAAAATTAACTAGAAATGCTATTAAAATCAAACTTCCCTACTTAGACACGTGATACCTACAATTAAGACCGATACTTCTTCCAGAAGTATTGAATAGAATTATCATCCTATTAGATTAAACATTATTGTATGGTCATTAGTTTAATCAGAAGAAAATATATTTTATAAAAGTTACCTGAAATCATTTGTCCAAAGAGAATTTTTCACGTAAGCACCAACATGACCAGATTGTGGCAAAAAACGAATTTCACCATTAGGATAAACTTTTTTGAGTGAACAGACACTACCTCTTGGAACATATGCATCATATTCGGCTGCAACAGATAGAACAAGTCGAGAATCTATTACTGGAGAAAAATTCCCTAAATGAGTAAAATAATCTAGAAGATCACGTAGAAATTGTCGAACTTCTGGATCTGGTGATGAATCTGTACGCGGAAAACTAACACTTGGTAAAGAAGCACGTGGTAATAATGAAATTTCTTTATGCCATCGAGAACTATTCCACTGATAGCGAAAAACTGTATTGAAACTAAATGAAGACAAAGAATTCGGAAGACCAGTGTATCTGAAATGTGAAAGTAGTTATTGAACATTTTAGCTAATTAAAGTTTCACGATGTGGATAAGTAATAAAAACGCATGTAAAACAATATGGAGATACGTTAGAGGAAGAGCAATTGGTTGTTTACTGAACTTCAGAACCTGGTACACAAAAATAAATAAAATTCAATTCCCACAAATCTTAATAAAAGAAAGAGACCTGATAAACCAAGTATCATAACAAAGTAACTTTCAAAGACAAGGAACGAAAATTCATAGAGAAACTTGAGAATTTAGTGAATACCAATGCTGATTTATAATTTGCAAGTGAATATATCTCACAAAAGCTAACATTGATATTGGCATTGAGATTGCTTTGTTTTTCTTATTGTAACTTAATTTTTGATGTGCTAAGGTGAAATGTGGGAGCCTGAACTGATACGTACTTTTACTAAAGTCTATGTCGTTTATAAGTAATAAACTTATTTACCATCGATAAGCAATCATAATATCAAATGATTTTATTGGACTCGACAATATACCAGCTGAAGCAATGAAGTCAGACATCAAAGTAACTACAAACATGCTTCACCTTCTATTCAAGAAGATTTGAGAGGAGGAACAAGTGCCAATGGACTGGAAAAAAGGACACCTCATCAACATCTGAGCAAATGTGAAAATTACAGAGACATTACACTACTGTAAGTACCAGGGAAAAGCTTTAACAGAGTGTTGTTGAACCGGATGAAAGACGCGATAGACGCACAACTTCGAGAACAACAAGCTGGATTCCATAAGGATCGGTCGTGCACAGACCGAATTGCGACAATACGGATCATCGTCGAACAATCCGTTGAGTGGAACTCGTCACTGTACATCAACTTCATTGATTATGAAAAGGCATTTGACAGTGTAGATAGGAGAACGTTCTGGAAACTTCTTCGACACTACGGATTTCCTGAGAAGATTGTCAATATTATCCGAAACTCATACGACGGACTACAGTGAAAAGTAGTGCATGGAGGACAGCTGACAGAGGCATTCCAAGTGAGGACCGGAGTAAGACAAGGCTGTCTACTCTCTCCCTTCCTCTTTCTTCTGGTGGTCGACTGGATTATGAAGACCTCTACATCTGAGGGAAAACACGGCATATAATGGATAGCTCAGAACCAATTAGACGATTTGGACTTTGCAGATGACCTAGCCCTCCTATTGCATACACACGAACAAATGCAGATAAAGACAGCCAGCGTAGCAGCAGTCTCTGCATCAGTAGGCCTCAAAATACACAAAGAGAAAACCAAGGTCTTCAAATACAACACGGAGGATGGCGATCTAATCACACTTGATGGCGAAACTCTGGAAGATGTAGAATCCTCCACACACCTGGGAAGCATCTTCTATGAACAGGGAGGTTCAGATGCAGATGTAAAAGCGAGGATTGACAAAGCAAGGGCCGCATTCCTTCAATTAAAGAACATATGGAACTCAAAACAACTTTCAACCAATATCAAAGTCAGAATCTTCAATACGAATATCAATGCAGTTCTACCGTACGAAGCTGAAACGCGGAGAACTACAACAACTATCATCAAGAAGGTACAAGTATTTGTAAATAATGGTCTACGCGAGATACTGAACATCCATTAGCCGGACACCATCAGCAACAGCCTTATGTGGGAGAGAACAAACCAACTTCCAGCTGAAGAGGAAATTACGAAAAGACGATGGAAATGGATAGGACATACATTGAGGAAATCATCAAACTGTATCACGAGGCAAGCGCTAACTTGGAATCCTGAAGGGAAACGGAAAAGAGGAAGGCGAAAGAACAAATTACGTCAGGAAAAAGAAGCGGATATGAAAAGGATCAATAAGAACTGGAAAGAGCTGGAAAGGATTGCCCAGGACAGGGTTGGATGGAGAATGCTGGTGAGCAGCCTATGCTCCTGCATGAGTAGTAACAGGCGTAAGTAAGTAAGGATTCTAGGCCAACAAGTGACCAAAATATTGAATATAAAAATGAATATTATCAGAGAATTATCTCGAAAAAAAGTACATGTATGTTGGCAAAAATAGGCTGGAAATATTATTCACCGATAGGAAACCTATATTTTTAAAACTACAATTCAATAGGGATGTGGTTGGTGATGTCCTACATGATAGATTACCAACAGTAGTTAATAGGAAATTCTATACAGACAACGCTGCATTGAAATCTTCTAGTAGATCAATGATATCTACTCACTCTTATGACACCTACTAACTACTAAGAACTAACTGCTAACTACTAACTACTAACTAATACTAATACTACTACTAATACTACTACTACTACTGCTACTACTACTACGCGTGTCTTCTTACTATCAACTTGTACTTTTTACCGATTATGAGTAGTTATACAATCTATTTCACTGTGATCGTTGACTCATTAATTGCTGTGATTGGTTAATTTTATATACTCACATAAATATTGATGTTAATTACAGTAAAGCCTGATGACGATCTAATCTAAAACAATACTGTTCGTATATATTGTCGTGTGGGCTACTGATGTCGATAAATATAAGTAGTATGTATCACCAATCGAATGTGAAATGTATGGCGGCAGAAGGTTAAGGAGACCGAAGAGAAGAGAACGAGAACAGAGGATGATTGATGTGAAAACGAAAAAACAATCAATTCTGAGACTATTGATTGACATTTGCAAATGAAGTATTTACTATGTGGTTCTCAGATTTTACTAAGAGATTTTATAATGTCATATTGAAATACATTTGGTTGTCCCCACTTGTGTTTTCGTTCACTACAATATGAGTTGTTCAAATCAAAATTTCACATCAACTTACATAATGCTGGGAAGAAACTTTTGAGCAATAGTAAATCTGTGTTTATTAGAATGGGATGACGATAACTGGGAGGTTGAATTAGATAAATTAATAAACTGAGACAATAGATCCCGAACGTGAAAACTTGAGTCTGATGATTTTAAAAAATGTCTTTTAACAGGATGTAAACGTGAATTCGATTGTTTTGAAAATGTAGCCAAAGGAGCAACATTTACAGCATTTGAGTGTTTTGAATGTAAAGAGTTTATTGAAATGGGTGAATATCGTAGACTGTCACCTGTAAAAGTATGAAAAGTATTTAGAGGACATAAGGAAAGTTAAAAACATATTACTTTACATAACAACAATAAATACTAAAACTTTTATGTTTATTCCAGAGACTACTTGTGAGTTTAACTACAGATCAAAGGTGAACTACAAATCTTTAAATCTTAAAAGCGTCAATCCAATCGAGTTAAGTGAAACAAACTCTCGAAAAGGAAAAGTACATGAATAAATTATAACTTAAGTCTGAAAACGTTTGTAATTATGATAAAGAAAAGTGTCAGTGATTTTCAACCTTAAACGTGTGTAAAACTTATCACTTCATAAGCTGGTTGTTAATGTTGCCACTGAATAATCGAACCACTCAAAACTTGAAATAAATTGTTTTAAATGAGATTCGAATAATTCTAACGAAGAAAGGACTAAGTTACATGGACTAAATAACAGACGTTAACAAAAATGAAGCTTTCGTATTTATTACTGATAAGATGCTACTGCTTAAAAATAGTGTAATGTAATCATTTAATTCATTAATTGATACAACGGAATATATGACATTATTTAGGTCAATATTTCTCTGGTAAATCGATTATGAATTTCGGCTAGGGTAAAAGGTACAAACTTCACCGAGTAATATTTAAGTCAGGATTGTTTGTATCGATTCCGTATGAACTTCAATATGACAAATAAGAACTCTTGTTTAGTGTAACAATTATGTCCTATGTATAAATCCAGGAGAACTGTATTTAATGTATTTTTTTACTGTAACACCATGTTCCCACCACCTGAGTGAAATTATAAAATGTGTGTGAAAATTAGTAGGTAAATGACTTCATGTTGGTCTAATGATGATATAATTTTGGACGTGATTTTCAGGACTTGTTTGGGAATATGTTTCTAGGGTGCCGATAAATCTTTGTTACATAAGTTTTTCATGTCCTAATATTGTATTGTGTGGTATGTAATGGTTCCCGTTTCCACATACAAGCAGTAGGATCGCACAGTTACAGTGATTTCCGATTGTCAAGCGTAAGCATTAGTAAAACTGTAGGTTCAAGGGAGTCGACAAGTACATAACAGCAACGACACCCTCAAACGTAGCAGAGGCGGCTGTCAGATGAACAAGTAGCGACTGATTAGTATACAACATGAGTACAACCAAATTGAGCTAGAGATTTGAAGAGTATTGTGTAACATTAAGAAAATCTGTCAATAAAATGCGCATGCTACTGTGAAGGAAGTCATGATCTATTTGAAATTTGGACCAAGATTATCTAGGTAGAACAGATAATATTTAATTAAACAACTGATTACTTAATCCTTTAAGTACAAAAGTGAATAATTAATTACTAGAATTTCAGAACTGAAACTTTGTTCAGTGTACTAGACGCAATTTAGTGGTAGGTGTTAATCACTATGACGTATATCATTACAGATTCTTAACGAAAATCGCTCCGAGATATTTGGATAAAGCTAATCGATCGAGTTCATACAATGATACATCTTTTCATTTATATTTTAATTCTAGTGCACTTCTTCTATGATTGTTATTTAGAATGATAATATGCATTATTAGACAAGATTTTTACCTTAGAACCGTATAAATAATTCAACATGTTTAAAAAGATATCATGTTCTAATTTGACGATTTTAAGCATATTTTCATTCATTATAATCTAATTGTCACATATCAAGCTGGTCAATATCTTAAAGTAGGTAGATAATAACATTTGAAACAGCTTAGTTAATATAACTTTACAATTTAAGCGTAATGAACAGAAATTCCGAAATTCATAATGAAATAGTATTTAGGTATAATACACAATTAGATGACAATATTACAAAGTGAAAGTGAAACAATTTCTTTTTACCCAAATTATCATTAGAAGTTTCATCAGTTGTTTTACAAAATTCCGGGATAGGTGGTTGAATTTGAGGTCGGATTACATCAGAATATACAGAATCAGAATAATATTGTTTTGTTAACACAGACCAATCTACTGTATTCGATAAAATACCCTATCAAAATAGAAAAGATAAAGAAAGATATCGGAACATATCAGTAAATGGACAATAGGTGTTATTTCCATGTACGAAGAAGTGAACTCAATAAAAGACATCGTTATCCGATTCGCTGTCAATTCTAATCAATAATAAAATAAATATTTTAGTACCGGATGACTACAAACAATTGTCTACTATATATATATATATATATATATATATATATATATATATATATATATTCTATGATGCCGAACTTTTGCGTTCAATGTTTCATTTTCGCTTGCCGACTTATTTCCACTGCCTTATTAAAGTAATGGCAAAATACGGTTGACTAACTATTCACCGCAATCAATGTCATATGCTTCAAGTCCTTCTTAGTGCACGTTGAGTTTTACTGATCAAGTCTCAATGTCCCGACGAATCTAAGTGACTCAATATTACGCGCAACATAAGATCAAAATCATATATTACTTAGTTTACCAGTTTTTCTTGATATAAAAAGTATTTCATGTAATAAATAGTATACAATTATACATAATAGTAAGCTTAAAAACCTTATTACGATAAAGATAAATTGAAGTTGAAAATAGTAATTTTATAGTGCAGAATTATGTTGCACGTGAGACTGTTGTGACACTAAGGATGACAGATAGTTAGACATACTACACACTATACGATTAGGTGAATTGATTAAACGATAAAATATAAAAGATTAGCTGTCTATGCAACAACGTACGTATTTCTGAAGCTTTCTGAAATCTTCTTTTAATATAATGACTATTATTATACGTTCTTGACATGATCAATAGCCTTATATTGTAACTGGGTTTTACAAGGTATTCTGATTCACCCTAACTAACATTTGAGGATAAGATGAATACAAAAAAAAACAAAAGCAAATTAGAATAGATGATTTCTCCAGTGAATAAGGAGTACAGACACTATATTAATTTGAAAAGTTGTATCAATTTCAGTACGTTGGTTTTTAGTGAAATACTGTTAATAAGTAAGAGAAGTATCCTTGAGATTTATCAACATACATTAGTTGTACAAAATATCTACAACGATAACTAACACGATAATAGGAGAACTTTTCTTTTTCTTAAACTGCTGTTTAGGTGTAGTAAAGGTCGTTAAGAAATTACATATATGAAGAGAATAAGTATCTTTTACATATTTAATCACGCATTTTTTTTAAAACCTAAGATAAAAATTTGTTGGGGTTAAATGTGATGTAATAGCTAAGAGAGGTTCTTTAATTTATGATGCAGAAATGTGCGAATTAGATGGTTCATAAATCTGCTAAGCATAAAGAAACAATATTTACCCCACATGTATCATTGAAGTAGGTAAAACAAACAGTAAGAATTATAATTTTAGATTCGTGAGTAAATCTAAACCTTTTAATATCAAACTCGAAGTTAAGGGAAATAAGTGACTGAAAACGAGATGTCAAAATTTCAAAGAAAATCAAAGTTATCGATGCAAACCTTTTGACTTGGCAGCTTGCCGGAGCAAAGAATTAAATATTAGACTAAACTAGTCCTGAAAACAAATATCAAGCATTTTAGCATATTTTCTGCTTGTAAATTGCTACGTAACGAATCTAACTAACGTTTCATTGTACATTTACACATACCGTTTTAATTAAGTGGCTAGCACTGTTTATTTTAGCGCGAGTCTATAAAGAATAAACATAAAGAAAAGCTACGTTTGAATGAAATCAAGAATTCCCCAAAGTATGTTGAAAGTGAATAACAATCAAAGCTAACCGATAACATAAAAATCATATCATTTTAAACATAAACTATGTCCTCAAATAAAGTTATTAGTTTTAAAACATCTAAAGAGCTTTTGTATTCTATGAAAAAAAACGGTCTTTAAGTCCAGTGTAGTTTGCAGAAACTAAATTTAGATCATTGTGTTGTAACTATTGAAGAGGCTTAAGGTTTGTGATTAGCTACGTAGTCCTCTTTTTCACTCTTTTACACTTTAAAAATTAATTTTAATGCGAATTGAAAACTGCGGCAAATTCCTTGGTTATTATGACAACAGCGGTGCTTTTAACGTCTTAATAAATTACACCATACAGTTGTAGAAGTCAAACCAAGCTGCTTTGAGTTTGAATGTATGATCGTGATTTTCACACTTGGACCATTAAGTTCAAACATAAAACAAATTTTGTGAGAATATTATGACAGAAAATTTTGCAAAACGAACCTCTAAAAACACGCATGATGCTGAAGTCCAAGACAAACAAGGAATTAGGGAAATAGGTTTCGGCCAAACGGTTGCACACAGGGATGACATCTGGTAAATCAAAGCATATAAATATAAAGGTTTTAAATGTAAGCACCAAACTAAGGTGTACAGAGAAAGCACAACTATAAATATATTATTAAGCTGTATAGCTTATAGATACAATCCTCATTTTAAAAATATTTGGATTAGAAAGCATAAAATCAATTGTCACCATGACAAAAAATGATACTTTAGCTTAACAACTCTTCTTCAAGCACACCATATAGACAATTTGTAAATATTGTTCACCAAGAGCTAAATTTAGCTCAGGATTATTTCACCTTGAGAACAACAGAAAAACTCAACAAACTTCTGCTTTAGCATGTGACGGTGGAGACTTTAAGTGCCTTTTGTGCGAAAACCAGTGACCTTAAGTGGCCGTAAATAGATATGTCAACAAAACTAATGAGAATTGAGGAGGTGATCTTCACTTTTCAAATTCTGTCATTTTTGAGATTTATTGCATGAAATTCTAAAGAAATTTAAAGTTCTTCAGGGTTGCTAAAATTTAGTTTCAGATGGGAAGAGTCAGCTTTTATATTTCTGCAAACATAAGGCAGTGCTTGACCTACATTTCTTTAACCATATTAATTTTAATCAGCTTTGCTTTTAATTCTAGGTAGGGTGAAGAGTAAGGAAAACAGTTAATAAAACAAATACTACTAATTAATACCAATTTTATGTTGCATTAACAAACAGATACGAAGATTTATTTCACTCTTCGAACTTTTAGGTCACCATGTAGGAGTGTGCCAGTACATTAAGGGTGATAAAATAATACTTTGGAGCTTTCTAGACACTACTAACTTGCTTCCTGAATATTTAGAGATTAGTGAATGAGACTTCTGTAAAACAACTCGTCATTTATATGCTATTTACTTCAGGCGGTTTAGTGTTAGAAGCATTTAACTTTCAACCATTCATATGTAAGTTCGAGACCTCTGTTATCCACTTCGGCTTATGTAGTCATGTAGTTAGTTTTGAAGTAAGACTTAAAACAAACGTGTATTGGTCTATGTTATCAAATCTTACATTATAGTGGGAAAAAGTAAACACTAAAAAAGCCACAACATTAGTACCGGCCAATGGAAAACAAATTATACGTAAACAATATAGTCTGAAGAAAACCAAAACGGAGGAATATAATCTATGCAATAACTATAAAATTCAAGATTTACAGGGTGATAAACAATGAATATATCTACACCATTGCGATTTATTTGAAACCATGTTACCTGAAGTCAGTAAGCAAGGACTTTAAAAGAACTCGGGGGAGCTGCAGTTGATTTTTAGCCTTATAAATGAATCTACTGTTCAGAACTAATATATAACCAATTATTTTATTCATAAAAGAAAACTACGACTACGAGCCGAAAGCCCATTGCCATTTCGTTATTCGAAGGTGCAAAAAAGCCAAAGTTTTAGAAACTATTTAAGATAAATTCACTTAGATGTCGTCCTGACCAAATTGCTTGGGTACCCTAGATCAGTAACTCTCATATGTGAAGAAATCAATTACTGAGACGCCAATATCATTAAAGACTATTCTTAAAAGGGATTATCAAAACCGCTATTAAATAAACTAAACAGATAGTTACTAGCTAGATAATACGATATTTTTGTACATTGACTGTAGTTTTGAACAAGCTATAAGATGAAAAATGGTATAATAAATGGATAAAATGACTAATTTCGAAAAGTCAAAAGGCATTTATTCCAGTTTCGCCTTCGTATTAAATAAATTTTGGGTCATTCACATTGTACCTTTAATTATTTGATCTTGTAAATGTAAATTAGATGGGTTTATATCAAGTGGGACTGAATAAGAATGTGAAACACTTTCCTTGACGGATTAGTAAAAACACTGCCAACAGAGTGTACCAAATAGATAAAATAATAATAAATACTCTACAAACTATGAAATATTTCATTACACGGCTAGGTTGCTTGAATTAAACATATAATTCGTATAGTTAGTAAATCGTTATGTAAATCTCAATAAGACAGAATTGGGTTGTTTCTTGTTTACTTTGAATCCATTTACTGGATCTATTTCGAACCCTATATCTAACTACTAGGTGGTGCACTATTGAGCTACGAAGAACGTTTTGTACTCGTAGGTAGTTTTTTCGGAATACGCTCGGTAGAATCATTAGATGCTTGTCTTTCTGTCTTGATATGTGCACTTGGAAGTGATGTGAAGCGAGTATTCGTCTACCTTTGTGTTATTTAGCATTGAGCTATGTACAGTGGGATCAATTATAGTGCAATTTATGCAGTTTTAGAAGCTGACATTTTACTTTTGATTTGGCCATCTATGGGCATCAATTGGATAAGGAAAGGTTTCTTTTCTCAATCAGAGGACTTGATAAATTAATTGAATATTAAAACTCCTTATGAATACTTTCTAATAATTGACTTCAGAGAATGGTATATGCATTCTGACATTCGAAAAAGTAATTGAGTTAGTGTGGATAGATCAAGAAAGAGGGCGACAACTGCTTAAAGTCTGCGACAGACGACCCTTTAGCAATAGCGGTTTAGTAACACTTGTTCCAAACATTTTTAATTTTACTGCTGTAGATAGGGTAAGAAGTGAGCACTATTTTTGAAAGTATATTGTGATACTCCAACCAGTCAGTAAAATAGCAATTTTCACTAGCAATAGATAGAGAGGACTCCAAAAGAAGGAACAGTTAACTATTAGCTCAAATTAATAAGACATAAATGCTTACACAGGAACCAAAAAGTCATTTACCCATTTATTGGAAAAGTATTTCAAGGATGTCACTTGAATAATAGTCTTTACATTCAAATCTTTGAAAAATAAAACCATCAGGAACGCTTACATTAGATCAAAAACGTCGATTCTTAATAATAATAAACCTGAAAAGTATTTTGAACTCATTACTACATTCAGATTATACTCGATGAATTCCCTTTGATTATGGAATTCATCAGACAGAAGCAAAAACTATAAAAATACTAAAGTTAGATTAACTACATGTGGTAATATATGGGGTACAACATGACAAAGTTTGAACTTTTGTTAGAGCGAGAATGGAAATTAGGCCAAACAGTTGGTAGAACAACTTACATAACCACCCATTGAAATTCCATGAAGTGCAAATGGTCCGTAGCCATTACACTCACACCATTCTAACAATGCGCTGCATTCCATAATTAAAGCTCCGCCCATGATGAACAGATCAGAAACAGAATTCAGACTAGAACCTCTAGAAGTACAAAAGTAACAGAAAACAACTTATCAATGAAATCTATCCTAAAATATCGTAAAAGGAACATGCTTATTTGTAGCACATACAATTTCTGGCCCACTATGACATGAAAATGTACAACACGGGAAATGACAGTGAAGAAATGAGAGTAGGGTCATGAAGTAAAAAAGTTAAACTGCAAAGGTTGGTGTTTATTAAGATGGCTCCTAATCGGGGCCATGTCTGATATCTCACATGGTTGTTCGACCTGTAAGACTAACCGAAGAGTCGTCAGCCATGGTCAAAATACAGTCTAGCTCAAATGAGCATCACCCCAATTTGTGGCACCAAATCAGGAAAGCGAGATGAGATTAAGAAAAGTCAAAATAGTAGCATCAGCATTTGGAGGAATATTGAAATTTGCAGTTTAAGAACAGGAGTGAATACATCTGCTACTACGACTGGTTCTAAAACATCACCCAAGGTTTTCAATTGCTGATAGTGGTTGTCGTGAAGACGTTAGTCAGATAATCTGCACCTACCACTACGGATGTGCAATAAACAGTAGTCTCATGAACTAGTACAATACCCTGCTTTCGATGCTCCTGGCATCTTTCAAACTTTATCCTATCTAACCAGGATAGCGTGTCAAGGTAGGTGGTGGCGGAGGATACATAATAAAATGCATCAACCACGTAAATCGACAAAGATTCACAGCCACTTTAACTGCTTTTAAACGTTTTTCTAGTGTTTTGTCTGACGACAGAATTATTTATTCGGTGGTTCCACTGTAAGCAAGAAGTTCTTTAAATTTATTTATGATTAAGTAATCGCAGACTGTGTATCTACTTACATAGGCCATGTTTTACACTGGCAAAATACTCGCGTTCTGATAGAGATACTGACAACCTTCCTATACCATAAGTTATGTAGGCTGAAAAAGACCAAGCAAAATCCCGAAACTACATGGAAGTTCCATCAGATACCAACCAACTAGGGTTAGTGAAGCTTCCGAGATAAAAGAAGTGGTTGGCGCACCAACTACTTCACCCAGCAATTCGTGACGCACTGACAAATTCCAGTTCTACACATCTATCATTCATACCACGACACCATGTCATAAACCACCATCTCCGCTCTTTCCACGAAGTCCTTGTATCGGAAAATAATGCATGGTGTCAAAGTACCTAAGATGAAATTCATAAGTTATATCCAGGCTATCGAAGCCATTGTTCTAGTAAGTGATCACCAACTGAATTATCATCATCAACACACAGTTGAACCTCGGCGTTACTAACAGGTTTTAGAGGTCGGATGAATGATATTTTGGAGACAAATATGAGAGAGGAAAGTTGCTGAACATCCTCAGTTCATACTGGACAGATTTCACTAACTCGTTGTAAACCGGACTGTTTGCAGCCAAACTAAAATCACAACATCTCCCAAAATAACACAAAAGATTTCAGGTAGTGTATCAGTAATGATGGAAGTTTTCGCCACGTAACCTGCCATCACCGAGTTCGAAAGGGTCATCCAAACGATTTACCTTTCTACCTAGATGACTGGTCAGGTAGTTCAAGATTTCAGCTAAAACTACAATACGTATTCACAGCGCCCTATCACAAGATTATTTAATTAGTAGTAAAACCCATTTTCTGAATCCGGGTTGCAATCAGTTAGCGCGTTGGAGGAACTTAGGTGGACATTATTTTTAAACAATATTTTGTCGCCTTAATCAGACTTTCTAGCCTAACAACGCATAGCTAGCTACTAATGGGGATAAGGTGTGACGCATATATATCTGGTGCCCCCCTTGTATCAATATTTATGTGTTCAAATAAATAAATAAATAGGGATAAGATTGACAGGTGCTGTCTCTGCTTTGACGTTCACTACGACATTATTCCACCGAGAGAGTACGTCTGTTTTACAGGACTTTTGAGTGGGTGTGCGCAAAATAAGCACCTCGAATCCACAGATAATGATCGAATTTCAAGAATTCACATGTTTCTGGGAAAGGCCTATCATACTTGACAAATCCTCTCATTGCGAAAGAAGATTGGCCTGTTGCGAATAAATAGTAATACTCTGGTAGATGTAATTTTTATAAATCTAAATAAAGCCTTTGACATAGTCTTTCACCTGAGTCTTAAGTGAAAACTGAGAAGTCTTAGGATCCATTTGAAACCACAGACCGAGCAAGACTTTCTCAATGATAGAAGACAACAAGTACGAGTAAATGGGGCTCTATCAAAGTGGGATCTGTAAACTGTGAAGTTATTCAATACACAATACTTCGGCCTCTTCATTTTTACTTTACGTAAATAACTTACCAGCTATCACAGTCAGCTATTCAATACCTTGCACATGAAATAAAGATTTGAAGACCCACACACAGTATTTCAGAAAGAGTATCACAGAAGGGCCGTAATTAACTGGGTGAATAGATCTACAGGTGGTCACTACGATTTAACTCTAACAACAGTGTAGTTATGCAGATAAATAACTGCAACAACTCACATCACTACACATTGAGTGAAATTGTGTTATCAAGCGGAAGACTATAAAAATCCAAAGGCCATAATGAGCAACGACCCTGAAACTATGAGTAACTGTAAGACCTGCTACAAAAGGCTACTCGTAATTCATTTCGTTACTTCGGTGAAGTATTAAGTATTATATTCGAATTTCATGAGGACGCATTAAAAAAAATATGGGATTGAAACGGCGAGTCCTTATTTCGAGTAGGAAGGGGATATGGTAGGACAAGTTTAACCGAGGTGCCAGAATAATTAGACGTACATCTGGCCTGTCTTATGAAGACTAAGACAGACTGACTGAGGTGCTTCATTCTGCTTCCATTATGTTACCGGATGTCACGGAGTGATTTAATACTGGCTTACCGCATACCGAAAGATGATCTTGGTATTATTGTTTTATTTCCTCCTTCCATCTACGACTAATCGTAAGAGGAAACCCTAAGAAACTCAAAAACTAATATCAAATCGTTTACTTCTGGAGTTCTGTTTCTCTCGCCAATTAGTGAATTATTGGAATCCTATACCAGGAAATAATATCGGTGAGACTATAATTTATGGACGAACCAACCAGAGATGAGATAACCGGTCTCGGGTTTTGGCGTGAAATCCATTTAGCTAAGGTGTTTTGGCATTACAGCTGATATTAGTTCGTGATGAGAATCATATATCTAATTCCCAACCCTAACCATCAACTGTAAATCATAATTCTAAATCCTCACACTGGTTTATAGCCACATTTTGGTCCCAGTTATTAGGCGGATACTCAGCACCTATTGAGACATTCGGAGCGACATCAGATTTTCAGAATGTTACAGATTGCAAGGATCAATAAAGGTTGACTGACTCCCTATACCCACTAAAGAAAACTATTAGTGAGCTATGGAACGTATAACATAGTACAAACATGAAGGCGAAACAAAGTAGATAGTCAAATCAGGATAGTATGAATGGGGAGATATTTCCGGTATTTTGTTAGCATTAGCTTGGCTTATTTCATGTAACAAACTTTGATTTGACAATAAATAATTTTAAAAACCACAATCAGGAGATATCAATAGACTAACTGTTGATCTTCGGGTTTGCGGCAGGAGTAAAACGGATTCATCAAGATGATGGAAGCTATTCCGTCCTTTATTAAATTATTAGCGAGAAAAACTCTTCTCCTATAATAGTTCTAGAAATATAACGGTACTATGCAATGGGAATTACTTGATCACCGGTGCCAGAAAAGTGTACACAAACTGCGCGATAATTTGTAGGCCATTTCTTAGGAATGATCATTTGGAACCTAAAATCCTGTATTGAAAATTTCACTTTTACCTTGCAATCCTGTTTTCACCTCTTAATGCATTAGATATGACTGAATCGAATGGAGAAACGAATGACCCTTCGATCTGTATAGTGCGATTTTTCTCAGTTTTCTAAGAATTATGAAAAACTTGTGACCGTACTTTTTCAATATGAATGCCTGCCTTAATGTTCACTGAACAATACTTATCTCGATTAGTCACAATTTTCATATTTTCTATCAACCTATATCATGATTATATATGTATACGAAAATCCACTTTATCAAGATATCAGGAGCACCCCATCCTTCACTGAAAAACCTGATTGGCACTACACTACGATATATTTTGTCAAATGTACTCATTTTTCCTCAGGTAACCTTAACTACATAATAGAGTCGTACGTTTAGCTACAAATGACCCTGAAACAACCTTCGATTCAATATTCAAACAGTAAATTTCGTTTGCCAATATTAGTAGGTCATTTAATAATCAGTATTTGCCTTGGAGTAGTAGTCAAGCCTTGTTTATCATTAGAAGGCAGGTTTTGCCTTGTTTATTTGGAAAGTTTAACATGAAACAAGCCAGTTAATTCTATTGGGAGGGATCGAGGGCTTCCACCTGGTGAATGCATAATCAGTACTTACAAAACAGAAGTGAACATAGAATCTTCTTCCAGAAGAATCTGGAGCAGATCTGCTCACTATCGACAATGACGGTGAGTTCCAATTTTTGTGCTGACTCGTCTGTATTCCATCTTATAGTGATGTCCTCTTAGGTAATTTTAATAATTACAGAAGTCGCAGATCTATTGTGGTGTTGATGTTTATAAGGGACATTACATAACATTAACTTATTCCTTCGAGTTCTTATGTGTTGAAAGCTTAGCGTTTATTGTGATGGTAGGCGGGGTTTAAATTTAGTCTGAATACTTCTTTGGTTGTCCTTTTTTAGACACGTCTTAAAAAAGCAGTATATTTTCAAGGGTACAAAGCTATTTCAGAAGAGTGAGGCCATGAGTAAATATTAAAAACAGTTTTAAATCGTTTCCGAATAAATATGTTCACTGTTCTGGTTGTAGGCGCCAAGGGAGCATACTTAGTTGGTCTAAGAATGCCAAGTGAAAGAGAGAACCAGACACATTGAATGATGCCTGGGATCTTATGTTCAGTAATTGCAATGCTTATATCTCCCAAAAAGTAAGGAACCAGATGATGATCATTAGTAGTAGAATCGGCATGTCGACTAAGATTTCCAGTCAAATTGAAGACACATAGATCTGGATGTGAACCACTGGGTCCTGGAAATGTGTTTGTAGTGATATTGGTTTCCAACCACATGGTCTTCGAAGCTGAACCTGTAATCATTAGGAAGATTCACTCTCAACCTATAACACTAAGAGGTCAGAAATGGTGAACGCGGAAAAATTCATTCTATCGGATTTCATGGTTCAGCTTTGCAGGCGTGGTTATTATTGTGCAGCCCCATATCTTCCGACGATGAATATAATATTCTATCCCTAGCCGAAAAACGTTATTTTGAGCGCTAAACATCATATTGCTGAATGTCACGATATGATGATTAAGAATAAGCAATGATGGGACTTCCTCGTGAAATCCTATTGATTGGATGGTCACGTCCTGACAAAATTATAGTTACGGGATTAGGTCCATCATTGTAATTGTAGACTGTATTTCCTTGTGTTTAGTTGATGTGACTGGCAAACATACAGAAGACAGATTAATCAATAGTCCTAGAATGTCGAGCATCAGTTCCTCAATAGCAAGAAACATCAGCAGGCTGTAAACATTCCGTGATCGGATTGATAGCCTGTTGCATAAACAACTTCATTATTGCTTCTTTGTTTGTACAGTGTAAAGACTATAAAGTGAAAGACTTTATAAACTCTTTACCAGATCTTTGAATTTTGCAGCGGTAATAAATTTGATTATGGTTTTCAAAGCCTTGACACCTACTGGATCATCAGAATAAAAGAATTCTGTATTTGTGCGTATATCTTCGCATCTTGATTCTGTGATCAACAACTTTCTAAACAATTCATTGAAACCAACTTACTTGGAGCATTTTTAGGTTTTCCAGCACTAGGATAATTGGTGCATAATCAGTTATGAGGAAATCACAATCAATAAATAAAACCTTATCATCTCTACTCAGTGGAAAACAACACCCGAGAATATGAATTTTATTGTCAGCAATATTCGAAATAGATACTACAGTCGTTTCATTAAGAAATTTAACGACTTCAACAATTCAACTAATCTGAAAGATTTAATATTACAATTATTGACAATAATATTATGAAAAAGTCAATGACTTCAAGGACTGATGCCACGTTTTGGTTTGGCCACCCCTAACTTGCTTCCAACCGTCTCCAATACTAGTCAACATTATTCGTCGTGGTAATCGGTGTTCAGGCATGCGTAATACGTGGATCAACCATCTCAATCGATGAAGATTTACAACCTCATCAACTAACTTCGCATCATTTCCTAAGACCCTGCGTCTAACCTCACTATTACTTATCCGGTGATCCCAGCAGATACGAGTAATACTTCTCAGAGATCTGTGACCAGATGCTAGTGACTTACGAGTATCTTCTACCCTTAATGGTCACCTATCACAACCGTAAAATGAGACAGAACTAATTGCTGCGCTGTATACTCGTCCTTGAATTGATAGACGGATATTTCGCCTTCGCCATAGGTGACGTAAGTTGGCAAAAGCCAAACGATCTTTCTGAATCCATGCAGAAATTTCGTCAGACACCAACCCATTGGGGCTGATCAGACTTCCAAGATAAGTGAAGTTGTCAACGCGTTCGGCTACTTCACTCTATATCCTTAGTTCAGAAGTTGACTCAAGCCAGTCCTGAGACACCAACTTTCAGTTAGAGGGGGAGAAACGCATCCCAAACATCCTGGTATTGTTGCTCAGTGCTACCAAAATGCTTTTCATTTTATCAGCGTCTTCGCCAAACAGGACTATATCATCTATGTATCCTAAGTATATAAGCGGTACTGCTGGAAGGAGATCAATACCCGAGAATTCAGTCGACGAGAACGTTTTTTCTATCAGTATGTTTGTAATGAAGTTGAACAAAAATGGAGACATTGTGTACGTCGAAGGCTCTAATGTGCAGTTTGTAGCGACGTCTTGGTAAACCTGGGAAAGTGTTTCGCGCACTATTATTTTCGGCCGTGGTGACACCTAAGTACGAAGCCATAGGAGGAAGTTTAGAGTTGAAAGTCGCGAAAGGGGGAATAACAGAAATTAAAGGGGGAAAATGAATATGAATAATGATCTTGGATGCTGTTGGAGGTTTGAGTGCCATGCGCACTTACCGATTGCTCACACCGTGGAACAGTTCTTAAAGACGCAACTGAAAAGGAAATTAAGCTAACGCGGTGTTGGTGACCTGAGAGTGTAATTACAGTACCCAAGGGACAACTTCTTCAGGCCGGCCACACACTATCTTTCTGTGAGTACTTTTCTTGCTAGCTCAGTACGTTTTGAGATCTTAATGCCGGAGATGGATCTCTGTGTGATAAGGCGAGATGTACATTTTGAGGGTCAACCTTTTCTAACCCCACTCTTCCTTGCGGGAAATCAGTATCGCTGTCATACTGGTTGTCTGAAGAAAGCACCTTACTGATGTCACACCTTTATACATTCAAAGATAGGACTTCGCCCTCGGAGCTTGGATTCACTGATCTTAGGCTTACCGCCCTTCAATCGACGATCTTTGGGATAGTAGGACCTTTAGGACCGATTATTCAAGCCAGTATAGAACGACAAGTTCACCTCGACAGGCAAGCTTGACCACCACGTCGATGTAGCAGCAACGATTTTTCGTTAAGGCAAAGAATGGTGTTTAGGCAGTCGGTCGGTACTTATTAGTCCCAGCCCAGATAACTGTGACCGTTTAGTGCAACTGTGCGTGTACCAAAAGCTTTTTCTGGCTAGCGCTTACTACCGACATAGTCATCACCGATGTGTCACCTGGCGTCCTCCCTCTGCATCTCAAGCCTAGAAAAAGGGTGGTCACATCGTCCTAAGCTGATTAGTAAATTCAAAGAAGCTCATGTTGCAACTATATATTATTTCGAGCTAGGTTCAGGGATAGCTACTATCCAACCGAAATTTATACGTGGGCTTTGGTTGCAATTGCATGGTGCCATGAAAATAGTGAGTATAGTCGCTTGTGGCTTCGCGAAACGTCCCGCTCTTAGGCACTGAGTTTCTTCAGGCTCCTAACAACTCATTGAAGCCCGTCAGTCTACTCCAGTGACTGTGAGTTTGGCCACAAACCACAACTGTTACGTATTGAAGTTGACAAAAGTTAACGTAAGGACCAAGAAGCCTGTTAGTCAGAGCGTGACAATGTGTTGGGAGCATCAGCTACATGTGACAATAGTTGGAAGCGCTCTCAACTCCTTCAAGCTACTGGCAGCACGAAGTCTCATGTGAGTGGAGCAATGTGTAAGGATGACGAGATGTCAGTCATTAACATACATCGACGTCTTGTACGATGGACAGAGTTTTTCGAGACGGAGTCACACTGTCCTGCTGCTCCGACAACATTGATCAACCTTCCTGTCCTCCATGACCTGTGACGACTGATCCACTTAACGAGGTGGGAGTCGGCAAGAACTAAGTGACTTTCTGGATAGAGAGCTGACGACGTTGTTTAAAAACGTTTGACAGTCAGAGTGATTCAACATCATAGAACAATTCGAAAGTTGTCCCTATCCTTAAAAAGGGTTCACGTCGTTCCAGTAACAACTATCAAGGGATAAGTCTACTTACGGTTGCGTCCAAGCTGTTGGCTTCTGTCATACTTCATAGGTTGTTCAAAACCCGAGAACGATTGACTCGCGATGAGCAGGCTGGGTTTCGTTCCGGTCGAGGATGTGTTAATCATATCTTCACCCTCCGCCAAATGTTAGAACACCCTCATACTTATCAAAGGCCAACAATCGTATTGTTTCTTGACATCAGAGCTGCCTTCGATTCGTTGGATAGGACTGCTCTCTGGGATTGTCTATTGAAGAAGGGTGTGCCTGAGAAGTTTATTAACATCCTAAAGGCCCTATGTACAAACACCTCAGGCAGAGTGAGGGCATACAACCACCTTTCTCCATTATTCCATACGAGCAGTGGGGTTAGACAGCGTTGTCCAATCTCACCATTCCTCTTCAACTTTGCCATCGATGACATTCTGGAAACAGCTCTGATGGATGTAAGTAATGGCGGTGTAGATCTGTTGCCTGGAGAAAGACTTCTTGACCTTGAGTACGCGAATGATATTGTCTTACTGTGAGATAATGCCCAAGCCATGCGATCC